TCCCGGTCAATAATCCTCCTCAAACCCAGCGGGCTGATTTCCCATGCGAATCCCGGTTTCCAGGTTTAACCAGGCCCTCGACCGACATTTTGTTCTCCCCAAAAGATGTCCTGTTTTATTGTGTTCAACCTTACCATGGGGATTCTTTCCATTTGGTTTCTTGCTAAGTCAGCTGAAACCCAGTTCATCCGGGCATCCAGTCTCAATTATCCTCCAAAATGCCTGAAGAAACCCTTGGGGAGTTGACTAAGTGTCATGCATGATAGATGCTAACCATCGTGATAGTGATATTCACCATGTGCAAATACCATACCATACCATACCATACCATACCATACCATACCATACCATACCATACCATACCCCCCAACACACTACTTCTTTGCCCCGCCCGTTGCGGGAGAAGGATGGGGAATGTCCATGTCTATATCCAAATCCAACCCATACTCTCTACCCACCAACCAGCCGTCACATGGGGGTCCAAGTACAAGCATAAGAAAAGAAAAACCACAGATCTCCAGCCTATCGTGCAAATGTACAAAAGGGACGCATTCAAAGAAACAAGACGTGGGCTCCGTTGAAAGAGTCAATCGCATAAAGAAATCATCTTTTGATGCTAGCTACTAAACAAAACACCACCCCACCATGCCTTCCTCTACCGCCCAACAGTCACACTGCCGTTGCACAGCAGCAGCAGATCGAGTGGATTCTCGTATGCCAAAAGATATCCCCTCATTAGCCCAGCCCATACCCCTTTCTCCCACCCACCCATCAAACATGAGCCACAATCTACTCTAATCAACGCCCGTTCCCGCATCATGAATCGAAAATCATATACAAACTTTTCGTCTCATTGCTCTCTCTCTCTCTCATCACGGTCATCCACCCTTGTCAATCCATGACTTCACACTAAGCGGCACTATCACGTAACCTCTGCTTCTCCTCCTCCGTCAATCCATTGAACTCCTCTTGGAATCCCGGTGTCGTGGCAGCACGCTTAAAAAAGTCAATGAGGAAGCTTTGCGTCTCGTCGTCTCGCTGGCGGCCACCGCCCGGCTCTTCGGCGGCAAAGGCCATGAGCTGTTCCCGGGTATATCCACTGCCAAGGTCGACGAATGGATTTGGTTCGTCTTCCCAGTCACCGTCTTCGGAGCCTTCTTCTGCTAGTTCTGCGGCGGCAGAGGCATCGAGAGGAGCACCAGAGGCTGATTGGAGCTCAACGACAAGAACTTTGAGGATCTTGAGAGGGGCCGGTACAATCGTGTACTGATCGGGATCTATCCGCATGTCTTAGTTTGAACATCGCTTACATTGGACTGCGGCCACAGGGCATGGGAGGAACTCACTGGTCTTGGCACGACTTCGTGTCATGATGCGACCATCGTTACTTGCAATCAGATCTCCCTTGACCTGTACTTGAGCCAGTCGAGGGTCCTTGAGATCGTATAGTTTCGACAGCGCAATGACACTATTCAATGTCAGCCATCTTGTAAAAGTGCTGGTATGACAGGGTGAATAGGGAGTTCCAACTTGATGCCTTTCACGTTGAACCACCCAAACACCTGATCGTCACCATAAGGAATCCGCTGCAGTCGTACGTACTTTTGTCGGATCTCGTCGTAGCCCGCAAAATTGATCGAGTTTTCCAACCATTTTGCCAGCACGACTTGTAGACCGTTCTGACCTTCAATATCTTGTCTTGCCAAGAAGTCGACTACCTCTCCAGCATGATTCAGACTCAGCCGTGCGAAGACGAGCGTCAAGCTTTGGATGAATTGTGCCTGTTCTGCTTTGGCGAGACGGACTGCTACGCTTCGGAGGAGCCCCTCGAGATAAGGACCTAGCCTCTCGTGACCAGCCTTCTCCACCACCTCAGCAGCGAGAGCGCCAACTTCACCCGCAGCGTGATCACTTGATGAAGTGAGCAAGCGGGAGACAATGATGAGCGCGACCTCAAGACCGGCCTTGCCCGTTTCGTCTCGCCACTCGAATAATTGTTGATGATCGTGGGAAATGATATTCTTGACAGCCGTGGTTGCAGACTTGAGTAGCTCTTCGTCGTCAGATCCAAGAAGAAGTCGCGTGAGTTTGGGCATCGTCGTAGCAACAAAACCAGCAGGAAGAGGCTCCGGACCACGCTCAGCAAGGACGGCGAGAAGGTCTGCAGCAAAGTTGCACAAAGCGTTCTCCTCCGTCAGGTTACCAACATCGAACGCGCCGGTGAGGGACGGAAGAACCTTGGCGCATAGCTGAACGTACGCATCACCACCCATATCAGCGATGGACTGAGTCACTTCCTCAAAGGCCTCTACTACCAGCATAGTGAGCTGGAAATTATTCGCCTGATAACTCGCAACCTGGAACAGTGTATCTAAGCCGCTGCCTGTGATACATATCCGAGTGTCGATGAGAATAGCATCACGCAGAGTCTCGACCATGGTAATAACAAGATCATCGCCTTCGGCAAGTTCCTGCATGTCCTGAGCATTGAGGTAGTTGGTAACTGCCAATATGATATTCTGCTGAAGGGGTTGGGTGGCCGAGTGGGGAAGTGCCTGGAGATAGCATTGCGTGGCTCGGATGCACGAAACCTGGACAACATCGGAATCATCGCTCGATATGGCTTGCAAGCAAGCTTCAAGAAACGATGCTGCTAGCGGCTGGAGGGCGTTGCCTGAGGTCCTTGTCAAGCTGCCAGCTACCAGATAGCCCCTCGCCCTCAAGAAAGAATCTGGTTGCTGCATGGCATGACGGATGAAGTCAACATATCCACTAGCGGCTTCGGGCCCAATCTGCTTGTCCACATCCTGGAAGTCGCTGAGTAATTGATTCAGCACATACAGTGCGGCCTCTTCTGCTTTCCAGCCCTTGGATTCGGAGTACAAGACTCTCGTGTACGTCAACAACCCATCAATCGTAGGCTGAGTCAACCACTCGCCGAGCTTAATGACGAGGTCACCGCATGCAGTTCGAGGAGTGTAGTTTGCAGTCACGCTGGTCTCTTCGCTGAGAAAGATGTTGACGTCGATTTCCCAGAGGCCTTCCTCTTCAGTGGTGATTTGTGCATAGGCGACAGCCAGTTTAATGACCTGTGTGACCCAAGAGTTCTCGACCGTCTGATTTTGAAGTTCCTGCTCAAGCTGTGCCCGGACTGGGGGTGCTCGGAGACATGCCTGCATGAAGTCGAGCTCTTCGAGGACAAGAAAATCCAAGGTGTACGGTAGTCCATCGGCGTCTTCGAGTCGGCTCTGGCGCTCTTCGTGTATGTACATGAGAGAGTAAGCTGGTTGTAGGAGGGAGAGCTCTGTCCAGGTGGCTTGGAACAGAATCAGGCTCTGGGGTGCGAGGATGGCTGGGAAGACGGATCGTATGCGCATGAGCACCTGCATGTAGATCAGCATGTTGCTTGCATAATTTTTGTCGGTGGCTTACCTTGACAACCTGTAACTTGAAAGCGACATTTCCCTTGTACAGCTCGGCACCGGGCGAGTCCTGTTCCTCGTCCTGATAGGAAGGAGGGTCGGGCAGCCTCGTATTCATCACGTTGATGAAGAAGGGGATCCAGTCCTTGAGTATCTCGTCTGCAAAGCCCTTGACCGTCGCCTTGTGGTCTTCCAGTACCATCTCGAGTATGTCGAAGCAGCCATGGAAGACCTTGCAGGCCAATGCCCTCAAAGTCGGCTTCCTCTGATCGTTGATGGCCACATCGTACAAGGCCTTGATCAGCCGAGGGGCGACCCCAAAGAAGGTGTTCTCGTTCAGACAGTCCTCAACCAGTTCACCGAGAACCTTGAGGGCGCCATGTAATTGGCCATCGGACGCATTGGGTATGAGTTGCAGCAGGCTATCGAGCAGGTCTGGCCAGTCAATTGGGTAGTCGGCGATTGCAATCTTGCTGACGACGAGGCCGGCGGCTGCTTTGAGTTTGCGGTCGAGCTGGTCGGCCGTGGCAAGTTCGAGGAGTCGTTGTCGTAATTGCAGCTTGTTGTCGTCGGTGACTAGGATCTGGCCCTTGAATTCGTCCAAGCTGTCGCTCCAGCCTGCAAGCACCAGGTTCTTGAGGTAGAGCAGAGAGGCCTGTCGGATGTTGAGCGGGACGCTGGCATGGCAGGCAATGCCTACGAGGCCCAGTGGCAGTTCCTGGTGGCCGTAGAGCGAGAGCAGCTGTTGCTCGGCCTGTTTGCGCGGACCCTCCTGGGCGGTTTGCGTTGCTGAGAGCAGTTGCACTAGCTGTTCCTCCATGGTGGAATGTGGGGCGCGCGCGTGTACACAGCTAGTCAGCACCTTCTAGCGTTCGCCTGATCCGGCTCTGGGCTGACGAGCGTTTGTCCAAAAAATGCCTTGTTGTTGACGCCTTTGTTGTTTTGGTGGGTGTTAGGCGCGGGTTGTGAGCAAGCAGATAAAAAGAATGCGCGCGGAGATGCGGGGCACCGCCGCTGAAGCTTGGAGCCTGCGCGCCTGTGAGAGCTGGGCTGGTGGAGGCGAAAGTGGGTGAGCGGGAAGTAGAGTAGTACCACCAGTTGACTACTACTAGTCCTACTGAGAGTCCTGCCTACTAGGAGTAGAGAATATCAATGCTTGACACAAGACTGGCGACACGAAAATGGCAACAACAATCATGATAGTGATGACGAGAAAGTATACCGGTATGTAGTAAAGAGGAAAGGAAAGGACACTACGCCCATCACAAAGCCTCGAATCATGACAGGAGCGATACACCACCACTACTGCTGCCACTGCTACCGTACTACTACCACTACCACATCTCCATCGATTTGCCGTACATACACAGTAGGCGCTAGGTCACATGGCGCCCACTTACCTCGAAAACCTCGCTGCCTTCACCACCTTCCTCGCCGCCTACACCCACACGCTCCTCTACCTGCGCACCCTCTATCCCCGCACCTCCTTCGTTCAGACGCGCTTCCACAACACCTCCGTCTACCAATCGCGCCATCCCTCTGTCTGCGAGTGGATACGCGACGCCATTACCGCCGTACGTGAGGAGCTCCTCCAAGGCACCGTCGCTCGTATAGCCATTGTCATCTTCAGCTATGGCGGTCACGGAAACAAGACGGGCAGCGCCAAGATCATGGAGCGCTACCTGTTTGATGTAGGCAGTTTCCCTGTCGTGGACAAGAACGAGCGCAACATGGAGATTGAGTGGGGCTATCCCTCTTCCGACGCCGACCATTCACCGAACGAGGAAGGCGAGAGTGCGAGACCGACGAGGAAAGAGAAACTCCTGGACGCAGACACCCATGTCGATCTGTCCGAGCAGTTTCGTGCTGCTCTGCTGAGCCTCACTACGAGGACGGCGCAGCTTGCACCTCTGCCCTCGCATTGCTCCTTTAACATCAGCATGGAACTCAAAGACGAGACTCACATTGATCCTCCGATTGGACATCCTCAGGCTTGGATACCAGTGCAACCGAGTTTGCAAAAGACCGGACGGAAAGCAGCCAGCCGTGATCCCAACGACGACGAGGTGATCGAGCGGCGCAAGCGGGGTGGTGAACCCGAAGGAAGTGACCTTGGAGGTGTCAAGGTTACGCCTATACGAAGCGTCGAAGCAGGCGTCTTCAGGTTCGAGACATGGGTGGAGGAAGGGAAAGCAAAATTCGAAGGGCAAGGCGACGACAGTACAAAGACAAGTTTCGCGAGCCCAAGTTTTTGAATACGCATGTCGCAGCACCAGGGTCATGTAATAAAGGATGGGTGATGCAGAGATACCCAACAAGAGTTCAAGTACCGTTACCGGCAATCTAGCTATGTTCCAAACATGCATAGGCATTCCAGGTTGATTCCCGTGCTTGATAACCCAGTGAAAAGTAGCACCTTGCTTTGCGAAGAGCACAATAATCTTCCCTATTAAGGAAAACCAAGTATCTATAATCATATTCATCTACAGTTCCTGGTCACTCCAACTACATTGGATAGCCAGAATCCCAATCAGCTTGCATAAGACCGCACTCAAGACTCGGCTGCTCAATCTCCGAAGCAGGCGTCGATGCTGCCGTCCCGTGTCCCGATCCCGATCCTGAGCCTGATCCTGCAGAATAAACGCTTGAACTACGTGAATCCACCAGTGACAACGAATTCGAGGTTGAACTCGAGGGCATGGGTGAAAGTGCGTAGATGGACTCGTAATCCGGGGCAAATTCCTTTGACGGCTCTCGTGGCCGGTACAGAGGCAGTGGTTCAACTTCATGGATTTCTTCCGACGAGAGAGGTAAATTGTCACGGGAAATGCGAGGGAGAATCTCGAGTGGTGTGCTGGACCGGATGGTGAATTGTTGACTACCGTATTTGATTCCTATGGACACGTTCATGGCGTATCGTCGAGTGATGGTATAGGTTTTGAAGGTAGGTACACACTCGTTATCGTCGATCAAGCGGAAGTTGGACGTCAGTCTTTTCATTTCGTTGAAGGGAAGACGTTGGTTGATGTTCGTCCGGGCTATGCAACTGACGTGTTTCGATACGACGTCCTCCGGTAGCGTCAGGCTATGGCCGCACATGACTGTTGAAAAGGTGGATATAGTGACGTGTAGAGAGTCCAATATACACTCTCTTCGAGCCTTATTGGTTGGATCCCGTGTGTTCCTCAAGCAGATTGATAGTGGAATGTGTTGACCTGGGGCAATCGACTCGGTGTACGAGAAGCATGGAACGATCCGAGGGCTCTTGTTTGATAGACGGAGAGACAACGCTTTGCTCGTTGGGGATTTCGGGTCGTTCTTCTCTTTCGCAGGCTTCCATTGCTGGCCATATAGTACAGTAGACATGACATTGGCGTCCCGTGGTTCGTCGATATCTGATCTCGGATGATACCGTAGCACATGTTTGCATCTCTTGGTGTCTTTTGATCCGCTGATAACCACTTTGGCTTGTACAAAGTATGATATTTGAGCCGTACCACCCGGGACACTGGTCTTAAGATGGAAAGACGGCGGTAAAACATGCGGTTCCCTGAGATAGTTTGCGCCGTGGGTTAGTCGCTTGAAGTGTTGTTCGGTCAACTGGGGGAATCTAAATTCGAAAGGCCATGAGTGCTTCTTCGGACCAAGAGTGAGGTTGCTGAAAAATTCTTTTTCGCGGTTGAACAGTCGTATCTTTTCTTCGAATTCTTGTCTTCTTGTCCCGTCATTAGTGTTACCACTTGTGTGAGACGGCCGTGTCGTCTTTGTGACGCTATTGCCTGAAAATATGAGCTTGAGGGTCTCAATGTGCACCTCTTTATCAACCAGCAAGAAGACTCTTCCTGTGATCTTGTCACCCTTTCGATAGACCTTGTCACTGTCTCCATCCACAACAATCCGTAAAGCTGGTGCTGCCATGTTGTCTGGGGAAGCGGGCGATGGAGCAACAATGCAGGGACCGAGCTAGGTATAAGGAACGACGAGTAGTCTTGATACATTCGCCCATATGCCAGGTACACGGGTTAGGGTCCTGATCCGCTATGGGAGAATATTTACCGAGTAGAAGACTGCGCCAAGAGAGTCAAGATGTACTAGGCATGCCACTTGGGCTGAGACGACGGAAGATGACAGGGCCAACCACTCAAGAGAAGAGGCTGAGTGCATGGCCCTAGTATGACTTACCACAATGGATATGTGAAGAGTGCCAGCGTGAGCGACATATGCAGGCCAAGGATATATCAGAGAGCCAACTGAGTGAATTCAGCGCTGCAGGCTGTATCGATACCTATAACTTTTCCCACCCATCTTTATTGTGGAAACAATAGCGACGACAGCGACTCAAACTTTGTTTCCGCTTCTCGGACAGTGATCGAGAAGAAAAGAATGAGTAAGTTGAGCCTTTTGTTCTTTCGCACGAGCAAGTGGAATGCAGCCAAGGCCCAAGGAGGCGTGGGATTCTTGGCTCGTGGCCTGGATCCAAGCCACACTGATACCCCAGGTTCACCCCGCTCTTTGATGAGGGTGGACGGTTGACCACGATGAAGGTTATGGAACCAGATTCGTCCACATGCCATGGATCCTAGGGCACTAGCACTTGGTACATCCCATTGAGACACCGCTATAGAGTGTACCGGTACGAGCCACGCGGTCGCTAAGGAAGAAGCTGCTACAAAAGCTGAACTAAGCTGGAGAGGGTATCCGCACAAGAGTTCGCTCCGAACATGAGTTGGTTTCTAGGAAAGCTTGGCTGTCGTCCAAGAAATTCTGCACGGACCGACTCGCCAGATATTCCGAGAGATGTGGAGGTGAGGGGGGCCTCGGGACGGCTTACTTGCCTGTACAGGCTCACCAGCTGGGAACGAAGAATACGGTAAGTCGTCACATAGAGCATGTCTACCATTCGAGGAATAAATTCAATCAATTGATGAGGTACTGGAGGCGTTGAGGAAGGTCTTCAGTTGTTCCGGAAAGTGGAGGCTTGATCGTGTGTTAGGTGCCAGAGACTTGCTATCGATAAGACGGACATGGGCGAGTCAGGATCGATGAACAGCCAACCTGGCTTGTACTGACAAAGTTTGTACAGCCAGATTAAAGGAAAGAATTGTCTTGAACTCATAGCAGTATACCTTTTTAATCATGTACATTGTGTAAGGCCTAGGCGAAATGGCGACAAACCGGTGACAGTGCAGCCGAAAAGCGGCAGAATGCCAGAATCTTGAATCGCGCTCAGACGTCCAACGCGTGCTCGCGCGTCAGGCGCGCTAGTCAACGACAACTCCCAAATGTTCAACCACTAGTCGCAACCGCATACAAGATTGAATCCCTCCCGACACGGTCTATGAGAGCCATCTTCTCACCCCAAACCGCGCAATGCCTCCCCGAAAGAGCAACGTCTCTACTGCCGCGACGGAACCGAGCCCTGTGCCCAAGGCTGCATCAAAAGCCAGAGATGATGATGGTCTAGGTGTAGAAGTAGAGCGCCGATTATACTTCAAGCCATGGGTGCACTCCGCTAATTATTGCAGGATCTGAACCTGCCCAAGTCTATAGTACAGCGTCTGGCCAAAGGTGTCCTCCCTCCAAACACACAAATACAAAAAGATGCACTGCTTGCCATGTCCAAAAGCGCAACCGTCTTCGTCAGCTACATTACATCCTGGTATGCGCCTCCCCCACCCACACACACTCTCTCTCTGTGTGTAACGAACACGACGCCACTACACAGAGCGCAAGCTAAAGCCCACACCTTAACAGCGCCATAGAACACGCCGAGCAAAACGGCAAGAAGACAGTCAACCCCAAGGACGTCTTCGACGCAATGACGGAGCTAGAATTCGACTTCTTCCTGCCGCGCCTCGAAGCCGAAGTCACAAAGTTCACATCAATACAGGCGGACAAGCGGAATACCTATCGTAAAAAGGTACGCGAGGAGAAAAAGGCGGCAACGACGACGACAACCACAACGACTTCTTCGTCCACATCGGCTGGCCTATCGACGATAAACGGCAATGCGGCTGATGCAGGAGGCGACAGTCCGCCTGCGGCAAAGAGGGCAAGGCGGTCAAGTGGGGATGCAGAGGGCCAAGGGTCTGGGACCGAGGACGAGGCCGATAACGATGAGACTGTGGATGTGGAGGATGAAGAGGTCGAGGACGACGAGATTGAAGAGGAAATCGTGGACGAGGGTCTCACGGAAGATCCGCTCGAAGAGCGCGAAGACAAGGATGAGGATGACGACATGGCCGATGGCGATGAAAGCGACTGAGCTATTTTGCATTTGCGCGCCGGGAGTAGGAATTTACAGCGACTTGCATGGCCTACTGAGTAGACTCGGTTAGTATTGGACAATTGGGCAGCCTAGTCCATTTTCCATTTCTCAAAACACTGCATAATTTGGGAAACGAGGCATGCATCATATCATCACAGTAGGGAATCCAAATCCTCTCCTTCCCTATCTAGCTCAGCATCAAAAGCATAGCCCATACTCCCAAGCACACATACAATCCCAGCCATCAAAAGCACTAAAACGCAAATCCCAACAACTTGCTCCTCCAGCCCAAACTAGAAAATCTCAAAATTTCACCCAAACACATCAACATGTCCTTCCCTAGCATAATCCCATACTACATCTTACCTCTCCCTTGACACACACGCACACATGATTGTTGGCAGTTAAACACTATCCCTAAGCAAGCACATGCCTCTAAACCCCTTGCCCTTTATATACAAACCTCTCACTACCCCAAACCATCGCCCGCCAACACGCCAGTCATTCTCCCCATCTCAACACATGACACATGCACCTCCACCCCCTATCCAGGGCCAAACAGAACCAAAAGACATCATCATCATCATCATCATCACATTACCCTAACAACCCAAAAATAAACCCTCCCACCCTGAAAAACCAAATTGATAGTAAACAAACACCCATCCCCTCCCCACCAGCAGTCCATCCACCAAAATTTCGTTTCTGTATACGACAGAGGATCAATTATATAGATAAGATAGATGAACAAAAAAAAATCCCTCTACACAGATCCCTAAGAAAACCCAAAGGAGAAAAACGAGGCAGAGAGACAGACTAGCGGGCGGAAAGGGAATCACCATCTTCCCGAACCTAGAAGAAGAAAGCGGTGCAAACAAGGACTTTTACAGCCATGCAAGAAACCAAAAAAAAAGAAATCATTTCAAAATCATCACATGGGAATAACGCGAGGAAAAAAAAAGGGCCGTTGCTTCGGACAAAGTTACACGAGTATAACAATATGCATGTGGCCCCCGCTTCCGCCCCCCTACGTTTCATATCTCTGTAATCTCCATCTTCATCTCCATGTTGTTACAACCCAGTCCGTGGAACTTTCCCCGTGGGTCAGGTACACGGACAAGTACAGTACAGTACGTACGCAAGCCATATCCAACAACGACCGCTCTCGGGAGCCGAATCCGAATGCCATCCTATCCAAGCGGCTCGACACAAGCGCAAAATGCGTAGCAAACATTCAAATCGCCCCATACATCCGAAGCCATTGGCCCAAATCGGGCCAGCTTGGGTCCCAGAGTGGGGCTGAGGAAAGAATGGTAAGCAAAAAACAAAACCCCCCCCCAAAAAAATCAAAAATCAAAAAATCAAATGCACCGTTTGAAAAAATGGCGTTTCGTAAAAGCCGTGCGGTTCCTGTGATACCCCAGAATAGCCCGAGATTTTTTACTCCAGATCGACAAGAAAACAAAACAAAAAAACATCAACAAGGGGACAAAATCAACGCCCATGCCCAAGACCTGTGTGAGTTACAAAAAATCATAAAAAAAGCAACAGGAAGAGAAGATCAAGGGGCTCGGGGTTATTAAGATTAATCGGCGTTGAACACGCTGCTGCTGCAACGCCTTGGTGAGCAGGGGAATAAGCAAGGAAAAAAAATGCACGATGAGTATACTGTATGCTCATCATAAAAATTGGCAACCCAAGGATATTCATGTGTGCCAGCACTGGCATATATTCCGTCACTGGATCCGGAAGTCGCCAGGCCCCTGGTTGGCGAAGATGTAACTCTTATTCTGAGGCTCCGTTGCCCGCCTTAGCATGTGGCCGTTCGGGTCATTGCCTTGTGGAGGGGCGTATTCGTGGACGAGGAAGTCTGGTACTGATGAGACTGGCGGTGCGAAAGGGATGCCATGGTGAATGCTGTTGAGCGAAATGTCCTTGTAGTCGTCGTAGTTCAAGTTGCTCCCTTGAAAGCACTGCGCGCTGAGGTCCTCGGCTTCGGGCTGTGCGTCATCGGGCAGTGAAGGCCGGCGGAAGTGTGACGGCTTAGGTTGTTGGATGGTCAAATCTGTGGTCGAATGAAATCCAGTACGCGTCTGTAGCTGTTGTGTATACACGCTACGGGGGAAATTCTGTTGTGTAGCAGGTGCCGACTGCGGTGGCGTATCTCGATAGAGCGCATCATTGGCGAATCGTGATTGAAGATCCAACGACGGCGCCGGTGGAGAGGTGGTCTTGGCAATCACATTGCCCGCCTGATCCGAGGACCAGTTCGTGTGCAGGCTCTCCGGACTGTTGTGTTCCGGCATCACCGAGTGCGGCCTGATTACAGTACTGCCCTGCCAGTAGTTGCCAAAATCTTGGGGAGTCAGTGGAGTTGGGGGTGCCAAACTTCCGCTATTGGCGACGGTGACCGTGGTGGAGGAAGAGAAAGTCCTTGCAAACTTGGGAGAAGCGGCCGCCTCTGAAAAGCTTGCGGCCAGGGGCGACCGCTGTGCCGAGCTAGGCTGCGACTTGTGGACACGACCTCCATGATTGCCGAAGCCACCGGAACGGATACGTCGTAAGGTCTGGTCATTGCTTCCGCCTGGTGACGGCATGGAAGCAGAAAAGGATGCACTCCTCATTGCATTGGAATTCAACGCCACAGGCCGCTTCTGTCTGCGCGCAGCAATACTCGAAGACTGATTGGATTGCATGAGATCGTCTGGTGTGCCGTTGCGAATATGTACGGCATCCATGTTGTTCGCTAGATTGCTAGTCGACGAGCTCCGTCGTGTGTAAGCATCGTTGTTAAAGGGTACGGAAAGATCGAAGTCGGCAGGCGTTGCACTGATTTGACGAGAGTGACTTTGATCAGGCGAAGTCATGATGGCATGTGCGGACGTGTTTGAGTGTTGGTAGAAGTTGGGCTGCGTGAATACGGGAGGGGTTGCCTCGTTCCAAAAGGATAGGGCTTGGTCTGATGCTGTATAGGATGTGGTAAAGGGATCTTCGCTCTCCTCCTCACATGGTTTCGCTTGGCCCATCTGGGGTTGGTCGGTCCAGCCTGAGTAAAGCGAGGTGACGGAGGCTACGGAAGGAGGAGGGGGGTCATTAGGCGATTGAGTCGTGACGATTGATTGTGCACCCGAGAAGGGTGATGCATCCGAGGATTGCGAGCCTGTGCTATGCTGCAGGTCTGCCGAGTGGGAGGGGTTGGCGTCAGCGCCTGTGATGGAAGAGTAGTCGACGCTAAAATCGGCAAAGTTTGTGAACTCGGGATGTGAGGGTGCAAAATCATGCGAGGCCTGTGCAGGTACAGAAAAGTCAAGATCGGCTGGGTAGGACTGCGAGATTCCTGTGGTGTCATAGGGAAACCCGTGGTTTTGGGGGTCCATGGGCATGCCCGTATTCTGCAGGTAAGCTCCGTTGGTGGCAGCCATGATGGAATGCATGACAGCGTTGGGGTGGTAGGCCGCAGACTGGTTGGCTTCTGGGATCGAGCGAAGGGCGTGCTGCATATCATACTGCTGCTGTTGCTGCAACGAAATTTGGGAGGTCAGCTCTAGTGCGGATGGACCCTGACCATTCTGGGCAGGGTGCATGGCAGTGCTCATATCCGTGTTCATAGGGTAAAAATCTTGATGAGGGTACATTTGGGCCTGCTGTGACTGTTGCTGTTGGGGTTGATGTTGATGCGGCTGCGGCTGCGGCTGCGGCTGCAGTTGCAGTAGCTGCTGCTGCTGCTCAAGCTGTGGCTCATAATGGCCAGCCATGACGGGCCCCCTAGGTTGCGGAAAGGACATATTCATGTTCATGGTAAAATGATTCATCATCTTCTTGCGGTCCTGCTTGACCTTGGCTCTGCGGTTCTGGAACCAATTCTACAGCCGCGTCAGCGTCATGGGACGTTGTGAACAGAAAGGCAGGTAGCCGTAGAAACGAGGGTGTAGCTGTGGGTTGGCAAGCAGCGACGAGAGAGACTCACATTGATCTTGTCCAGCGGGACGCCGAGCTTGACGGCAAACTCCTTCTTGACATTGGTGCTCGGCTTGTGCTGCTGCTGGAAGTGGTGCTCGAGGACATCGTGCTGGTCCTTGGTGAGACGGGGCTTCACATCATTGCCAGGCGGTTTCTGGGTGGTGGACGAAGAAGAGGCAGGCAGTGGCGCCGAGTTGGAGTCGGAGGGGTCCATGGTGGTTGAGGCGCCCGCAGGCCAGACGGCAGAGCACGAAGGGTGGCGGTTCGAGCGAGTGGAGAGGAAAGCGAGCAGGAGCGAGGGTCTCGCAAGTGCGTCACTCACGGGGAGCGCGAGGAGGAAGTGGTTTGCGAGCCGCAGTCGCAGTGCTCTGTCGCCGGCGAGGCACCGTGGGGGAAGAGGGCGATGATAGGGTGTGTTGTCGGGCGCGGAAGCACGGGATAGACCGAAGTGAGGGCGTGCGCTCACTGGGATATTGCAGCGGGTTGGGTGGATTCGTAAGTAGCTGGAGGGCGTTTAGGCGGGGACTGGCGGGTAGCGAGCGACAACGACGACGACGGCGAGAAGAACGATGGGCATCACAGGGTTTTAAACGAAGGTGTTCAGCGCGACGGAGACGCTGGGTGCTGGCAACCGGTGGGCATAGGGCACGGAACGAACGTGGGCGAAGACGGGAAAGGACTTTGTGAAGTGGATGGATGATGGAAGGGTGGGTGAGGGAGAGGGTAGTGGATGGACTGGACGCACTGGACGCACTGGACGCTTTGGATGCAGTCGACGGCGCTGGCCTGCTGCTACTAAAGTGTTGGCGTGCTGGCCTGCCTGCCTGCCTGCCTGGCTGGCTGGCTGGCTGGCTGGCTGGCTGGCTGGGGGGCTTGCGGCAGACTTGGACTGGCACCCCATCCATCCACACCCATCCACCCCCCAGTAACTCGCCACTTTCACCTCTTATGTCGGCCTTCTCATCAGGTCCTACTTCGTGCGCGCTTTTCTTCTCTTGCACAGATGCTCTCAACCAGCAATTA